GTTTGGGGACTCTCTGGTTGAGGACTAACAGGTTGGGGACTCCCTGGGTTGGGACTCCCTAGTTGGGGGCTCCCTGGTTTGGGGACTCTCTGGTTGGGGGCTCTGCTCAGCCGAAGTGCTGCCACCAAACCGTCCAGCCAGTGTGGACGCGGCTGTCCAGGTGACGCACACAAAGTTTATACAGCAGGTGAACCCCCATAAGGTGGGAGTACCAGTGGGAGTACCATCCCAAACCCTGTGCCACGCAGACTCTCCAACCAATCTCTGACAAATGCAAGAGTCCCATCCCACCGCATTCCACATACCCATCAGCATTCCTTTATCCTTCAGGCCAGTGGCATTTACACCACGAGGAACAAACTGGAAAAACTGGAATGGAACGTTTCCATTCTTTAAAGTACAACAACCTTACCGGGACGGTCCTCCATGTGTGGAGGTCTTATGGTGGATATCGTTCCAGGTGATCACGTTGTTCCTGCCGCTGGTGGTGGAGCGGCCTATGGTGAAGGTCAGTCTCTGGCTGAAGGCCTGCTGAAGCAGCTTGAGGACCAGCCGGCCCTCCGAGCTGTCGGGCAGATAGGCCGTCCGGGCCACGCCTTCGAACGGCTGGCCGGGGCTCGGATGCTCCTCCTGCAGGGGACACAACTCTGCACTCATTACCTATTCCTACAGTTCCACTAGAATAAGACAAAGGAGGGCATGTGGAATAGGGGAAAACCACCGTTCACACAGAACTAAAGCCGGTCGTCCATTCGCTGTACTGTAGGGTTGTAGGGTTTTAGGGTTGTGGGGGGGGGGGGGGGTGGAAAGATGTCTCAACTAGGCTTGAAGAAAATGCGTCAGCCAGCAGGAGAAAATGCCGATCCAGACTCCTGTTCCAGTTTTTAAAAAAGTCCTATCCCATATGAGCATTAGCATCTGTAACCCACAGGTCTGTGTCCTAACAATTAAGTTGTTATCAGAGTAATCCCTGTTCAACATGAGTCTGACAACTAAGTAAGTAGATAAATAACTTTTAACTTTAGTACATGCTCTGATAGGCCTGGATCGGTATTAGATCGGAAGTGCAAAAAGATCAGATGGGGACATCCCTAGTCTCAACTTAATGACGTTGACAGTCAAAACCTCATTCTGGTCAAATATCAAACTTGAATCCATTAGCAGTGCTGGCCGATTTACTGGCCCTGGAAGGAACCTTGATCTCTCCAATGAGGCCCAAACTGGTGTGGACATTAGAGAAGCAGAGCACATTTATAGGGGTTCCTCTGACACATTGTGGCTCCACCTGGAAGAGCTAAAAATGTTCAAGTATTCAACAGTTATGTGACATATTCACGGAGAACAAAGAGAGCAAACGTGCGTTAACAGAAATGTTATTTTTCAAACACGTAAAAAACATATCCACAAAGAAATCTTCCACAACTTCATCCATTTGAATGTGTCTGTTTGCTTTGCTTCCATTGGCCAGGAAAGACTAATCTGACAGGCTATTGTTTGAATTGTGTTTGGTGGTTTAACAAATGTTTTTTTATGAGCGTTTAGCTGAGATGGATACATTTTTGTTGGATTTGCTTTATGGATTTTTATGGGCTGTAGCTTTACTTGCTGCTTTTGATATTGGGGCACCAAGGCTCATTCCTCATCTTAAATAAGATACTGTAACTTAGTTTTTGGTCCCTGGACACAATCTCCATTAGAGGAAGAGCTGTTTTTTCATGTTTCTAGCAAACATGTAATGAAAGGATCTTATTTTGGGCCCTCTTCTAAACCACCCGGTTTTTTTTTAGGCCCCCCCCCCCCAGAAAAACACAACGCCTCTCATAGGATGACAGTTGGGAGGTTGTAAACTTCCCGTACATGCATGCAATCATAGCCAACGTTTGTTTGTTTCGCCTTGCATTTGGATGCTTCTGATTCCATCTAAACCGCACCCAGGTAACTGGTCTTACCTTCTGAATGCCATCGGGAATGTAGTAGTGGATGGTTATGGTTCCATATTTCTCATATCCAGGTAAGGAGGAGGAGCTTTTTGTGACGTCCATCGAGCCTCCGTCGGGCTGAAGCCCCCTCAAAACGCCGTACACCTCTCCACAGATGGGACAGACGGGCTTGTACTCGAAGGCTTTTTTCAGACAGTCGGAGCAGAAGGAGTGTTTGCAGCGCAGCGTTTTCTTCTCCCGGCCCACTATGGGCTCCATGCAGATGGGACAGGGTTCCTCCTCCCCGGGCTGGCTTGGTTTGGGTGAACTGCTGGACGCCTTGCCGCTCGGAGACTTCCCGCCCGAGCACTGCGCAAGGAACTCTTTCAGTTGAGCCACGTCAGCAAAGTGTCCGGTGACCGTTGCGTCCTTTTTGTGGCCGCCGGCCTCAAAAAGGAGACGCGGGAACCTCCCGGGCAGCTCCTTCTCATGGCGCGGGCTACAGGGCAGAGACACCACCTGGGTGTCAGACGCAGTTCTCTGGTAGAAAGACAGGAATCTCTGTCTCAGGAACTCCAGACGTGGCCCGTCGACCGGATCCCAGGATCCCCGTCGGGGCCTCAGGGTCACCAGAACCGAGTCAGAGGCTTTACCTCGTCCTGTATCAGGCTGCCTCTCGATGAGGAAGTACGTACCCTGTATTCTTTTAAGCTCCTCCGGGCACTTTTGCTGGATGTAGTCCATCACGGCGGCAGACACGGTCACACGCGTGACGCGCTCACTGGGCTGAGTCACGCCACGAGCGGCGGGGCTGGAACGCTTCTCGGCCTGCAGCAGGCTTACAAGGTGCTCCAGGTCCTCAAACCCGCCGCTCACTTTATAGCAGGAACCCGATTTCTTACAGGAGTAGGGGCCCAGAATCCTCTCCAATCTCCCCGGGTCTTTGTAATTGTGTTCGTCCACCGTGATTGTGATATCTGTGATAAACTGCAACACAAAAAAAAGACAAATTAGGACAACAGAACCGTCTAAATACAGCTTGAGGCACTGAAAACAGCTATAGTTACTACTATGCTATCGTAGTAGCATTGTATGCTATAACATAGTTCATGTAAATGAGTAGGGGCCCAGAATCCTCTCTAATCTTCTTGGGTCTTTGTAATTGTGTTCATCCACTGTGATTGTGATATCTGTGATAAACTGCAACACAAAAAAAAAAGACAAATTAGGACAACAGAACCATCTAAATACAGCTTGAGGCACTGGAAACAGCTATAGTTACTACTATGCAATCATAGTAGCATTGTATGCTATAACATAGTTCATGTAAATGACTGATTTAAATGACTTATTCCTTTCAGAACTATATTTTTTTGTGTCAACCTCTCTGGCTGTGCCCACAGATTTGATCTTTCTATCTCTCTCTGTTGCAGTAGAGACCCTTTTTAGGTGAACATCCACACACACTTTGTTACCACATTCCAATTTCATGTCCATGAATTATGAGCTGACTTGTTTATGTCAGTAAACAAGGCTCTAAATCAAAGTACGACGCCGTTCTGCTCAGTCTGGCTGATGGTGTGTGTTCATTTGCCCAGTTTCGGACCTTGACAGTTCAAGCTAGCTTTTAATTCACGTTCTGGAACAAAATAAGTAAAGCTTTTCCGTGAGGATTTGCTTTATTTGGCGTACCGGAAGTGGGAGTCCGGACACTTTACGGCCGCTTCACGACTGTAAAAGGTGAGCCTCCGCGGCTCGCTAGCAAAACACAGCCTCAGCTAAAGACTCAGGTGCTGTTTGAGCTCAACTGTGGCATAAAGTGGCAGCTACAGTTTCCCCAACCCCCCCGGTGAAAGCCCACGGTGTTTCAGAACCGCTCCCCGGAGAAAAAGTTACCAGTCGGGACCTACCTCGGCCCGTCGTGCCGCAGCCATTTCACCTGGACTGGCGTGTGACAACGAAGCAGGCTGCTTTGTTGGTTTCGCTTTCACGCTGTTTTTTTTTTATATTTAGTTTTTTTGTTACTGCTTTGTTAGTTTCGCTTTCACGCTGTTTTCCCTCGGGCTGTCACCTGGCGGTGACTTTGGAAACAGCACAAACTTCCTCTTAAATGCAGCATGGCTGTGTGGGCCACTTCAGGGGCCTCACCTTTTCTCGGTGGCAAACCGACCCGAGGCTCATCTGGACTTACATATAGTTACATAAATAGGGCCTTTAGTAAGATACATATGTCAAAAATGTTTAAATATAAACTCTACAATTATTAGATTATAGTGGTTTAATTTACTAAAGAAATTAGACGAAAGAAAATCTTTTCTAGGGCATTACTTAAAACGCCATCATATATATCTCACAAATAAAGGGAACACAATGGCATATTGCGATGTCTTGAGCTGCTTCTCGTGTGCGTAATTTACTGTGCAAGAGGATTTAAGGGAAGTTTTTGTCTTATTTTGGTGGATCTCGTGTGAAAGTGGAAACGGTGCGAATCCAACTGGAAGCGTTCAGTAAACCGAGCGGCCGTGAACGCAGCGCTGCTGCCTCGGTTGCAATGTGCCGCTGTGTCCAGTAGAGGTCACTGTAGCTCCACACTGGGGCCTTCCGGGGCCGGGATGACGTTTCTGACCCGGGACAGGGGATGGAGAAGTTGGGTATTGAGACTTTGTTCGTACTTAAAATAACCCTATTAATTCCGAAACCCCTAATCGGTTTATGTAAATTTCTTTAAAACACCTTTAAAAACTCAAACAGAAAATAGCTCATGTGTGTTGTCGCCTATTGACTTATTTACGAGTGTTGTAACATATTATTTTTTCTAATTGGAGCGTTTTATTATTGAACTTGGCTTTGGCCTATTATATTTCATATGGATTGATCTGTTTTTCTTTGGTTAAAGCCGATAGTTCTCATGTCTCCATATAACTGAGAGACAAACGTGGGGCAGGAAGAGGTATCTCCTCTTTAATATTTGATTCTGTGGTATTGGAGTGAAGGCTGGCAGTGGCACTTAATAGAACAATGCCTAAATTACTAACTAGGTTACCTTAGAACTTGGTGGAATTGAAGAGAAAGGGAAGTCAGCTCTTATTGTCTTCTAACAGCATCTTTTTTTTCCTTTTTTGTGGTCACTAAGAAGAAAGGCTTGTACATTTAAACCAATTTTTCCAGCCTCCTGACGGAGGTGTTGGATTAAAAACAGACAGTAAAAGAGTTATCAATTCCATTTGTGAACAGCCAGACAGCTCATTTTGTGAGCTGTTTAATCTACAAGTGTGTGTGTGTGTGTATGGGAGGGGGGAATATAAACAGTTTAGACCCCTTTCACATTTTTTATTTCTTTTTCTGCTTATTTTTAATCGTCTTTGGGGTTCTTTTCTCGCCCCACGTTCATTTTTCCTTGGCTAAAGGGGGACTGGGTTAGTGGGTTAAGGCTTTTCAGGTCTGAAATAAAATAGGAGTTTAGGGGAAAAAAAGAAATAAAAGAAATACGGTTAACTAGTCCCCGGGCGTCGGGACAGTCCCTGAAGCGGCTTCGTGATGCGTTTCGGGATCCCGGGAAAAGTCAGCTCCCAAGCGGTCACGCGGCTCGGACAGAGGAGGTTTAGACATCTGTCAAATTCAGCCAATAGAACGGAGGCTACGATAATAATAATAATAATAATGATGATGAAATAAAACCCCCCTCCGCGGGATTAAGTCCACTTTTAATCTGATCACAGAAGTCAGATGGAAACAAAACAGCTCTCCAGAGCAAAGCTGCATGGATAGCAGGGAAAGACCGGGATGTCACTTTGATTTGATCAGCCGTGGGTGGGTGGGGGGGGGGGGGGGGG